CCTCATTTTACAAATGAGGAAACTAAAACACAAAGAGGTTAAGGAAATCACCTGAGATCACATAGCTTGGTAGTGGTAGAGACAGGATATAAATCTAAACAGTCTGATTCTAGAGCTCATGCTCACTATACCGTCTCTGATGAATTCCTGAAGGGAAGCAACTGTGTCTTATTCTTGTTTGTACATTCCATGCCAAGAGCACCTCAAATATTTGTGGAATGAATTAAAATTTTTAATTTTCTCCTAGTCATCCAAAAAAAAAAAAGTCCTTCATAAGTAATGCAGGTTTTCAGTCAGTAATTACAGAACTGAATCTAGAAAGGGTCTTTTATAAACATGGAAGAGACTAAAATTAAATTTCTAATGATAAATTCAAAGATCTCTGAAGAATTTTAAAATGCAGAAAAGACTAGTAAGGTTTTATAGGTAGCCAAGTAACTGTAGTGAACTCAGTTAGGAACAAAAAGTCTCTGCTAAGGAATCAACATCCCCTTAGAGAGAGATGAAATGTCATAATCTGCCTCCACTAATTGCATACTAAATTAATCCTATCTATCTAAATGTGCAATAGAGATCAAGACAAAAGTAAAAAGACAGAGTATTTAAACAAAAATTTAATCCTAAAAGCCAAATGTGTCAACAGTAATCAATGAAAACAAATAAGGCCATATTGCTCAGTGAAATCAACTGTGTATAAACAACAAAAATTTAATTCTGTATGAAAAAAGTATATCATTACCTTAGAAACAATAAAGTATCCTCCATTTGATTATTAAGAGCATTTAAGTTCTTGACAGTAGGTATATATAAAACTAAAAGTACTTAAAACGAAGTAATACAGGTATCCCCTGCCTTTCAAAAGTTCACGTTAAAGGCACTTTGCTTTACAAAAGACATACGTTAGTACATTTTCACTAACCAAAAGAAATACAAAGAGGATTTTCACTTTTATGAAAAAAGGCAAAAAGCAAAACTAGCGTTCAGAGTTTGTTTTGCAGTGAGCCGTTATGGAGGCAGTGTGCACCCTGAGCAGTGAGAGTGGTACCGCCAAGCTCCCTCCCTGGGAACTACACTCACCAGCTCAGCATCAAGGTGCCGTGGCTTTGAACTGTGTCTGTGAGCATCTGTGCTTTATCTCGATTTATTTTGTGCATTTGTTAGCAAGACGTGTCGTAAGATATCAAAAAAGCCTAAGGGAGATTATTTTTTGGGTCTGGGAATACTCAAAAAATTTTCCATATAAATTAATGGTAATTGCTTCTTTTGCTTGATGCCATTTTGGCTTACGGAAGGTTTCATAGGAATGCTCTACTTTCAGATAGTAGGGGAGATCTGTAATGATTTATACAGAAATTTAAATGATTAAAAATAAAAAATATATATTTTGCACAAGTGGATAATCACATTTAATCAGCAAGATAATAATGAACCATAGGGTACAAGTTGTGAAGAAGTGAGGGTTTGATGCACTGTTGCTACTTTCAACCTCCACCACATTACCAATCTACATCGCATACCTGGGCTTCTACTCCATCCTACAGCCCACTGTCCAGCTTGGACAGGTCCGCAATCCCTCATCCCAAGTCCCTGAAACCAATTCAAAATTTTTCTAATTTTAGGAAAGTGCATTTACCCAGTGCTCCAGCAGGATCTGGGACAGCAACCTGTAATCAAACACATGAATATTTCTGCAGCAAAATGCATGAATATTCACATAAAGTGGAATACAGAAAGACTGTAAATAATCTCACATCAGCTCAGGTCAGATTTATGAGCCTGAAAAAACATTCTGTTTTCTGAGCCTTTAGGATTTTTAAATAGTAGGAAAAGGACTATAGATTTGTGTTACCACATTGCATCCAATCTGCTCACTCCCTGTTTGAGAAACGACATTAGCTCCCTTACCTGCCATATTCAATTACAACACTAATTTCTATACTAGTCTAGAAATGGCAGCACCTTTGGAAATCATTTATTCAAACTCCTTACTTCATTGCTTAAGAAACTAAAGCCCAGAAAACATGGAATAACTTGTCTAGGGTCATAATGTTACCTACTGACAGAGAGAAAACTAGAACATGCAGGTCTCCTCTCTCCCAGGCCTACTGTTGGTTGGTTCATTCACTTATTCATTCTCTCTCTCAATTCAAAGTGACTCTTTTCAACTTTTTAAAATAATGGAATAATTACAGACTCACAGAAAGTTCAAAAATAGTATAGCGTCTACGTATCCTTCATCTGGCTTTCCTCAGTATTCAGCTGTAATACAGTATGAAAACCAAAAATTAACACTGGTACATTAGTGTTAACAAAACTACAGACCTAGGGAGCCTGGGTGGCTCAGTCAGTTAAGTGAATGACTTGGTTTTGGCTCAGGTCATGATCTCATAGACTGTGAGATCGAGCCCCACATTGGGCTCTGCGCTCAGCATGGAGTCTGCTTGGATTCTCTCCCTATGCCCCATCTCCCTGCTCTCTCTCTCTCAAATAAATAAATAAATCTTAAAAAAAACAAACTACAGCCTTATTCCATTTTCAGCATTTTTCTTAGCCTGTATTCATTTGTATGTATAGGTGTACATAGTTCTAAGCACCTTTATCTTATGTATAGATTCATGTAACCGCTATAAAAACCAAGATACTGAAATATTCCATCACCACAAAATACCTCTTTGTATTTACACCCTCCTGGCTCCCCACAGTGTCCCTGACTCTAGCAAGCATTAATCTGTTCTTCATCTCCATAGTTTTGTCACTTTGAGAATGTTGTATAAATGGAATCATATGATATTGTAGGGGCCAAGGGCAGGCTGTCCCAAGATTGGCTACTTTGGCATGAACATTATTTTGAGTTAAAAGCAATCGAAACCCAGCAGATCAAGGGAAAACTCTTTACCTCCCCCTCAACTGCATGCTCATACCAGGAAGAGAGCTATTAACAGAGATTCCTCTTTACCTAAGAAAATTATCTGAATATAATAGGGCAACATTTGTTTTCCAAACATCTCCTTTCACCTTAGTGCTAATCATTATCTTTCTCCCCCTTAGAAATATTCAGACCCCCACCCCTCTCCATGCTTCATTTCTTTGTAATTTCATGTCTATGTGGATTCCCCATACATATGCTATTAAATTTGATCTTCTCTTGTTAATCTGCCTCATGTCATTTTGATTCTTAGTCCAGCTAGAAGGACCTTGAAGGGCAGAGGAAATTCTTCCTTTCCAACAATATATAAACTTCTGAGATTGACTTTTTCTTTGTGGTAAAACACACATAAAATTTACCATCTTAACCATTTTTAAGTGTACAGTTCAGTATAGTCACAATGTTGTGCAACCAATCTCCACAACTTTTTCATCTTACAAAACTGAAAATCTATACCCTTTAAATGACAACTTCCCATTTCCCCCTCCTTTCAGCCCCTGGCAACCACCATTTTACTTTCTCTGATTGTGACTATTCCAGATACCTCATATCAATGGAATCATATAATATCTGTCTTCTTGTGGTTGGCTCATTTGACTTAACATAATGTTCCAGAATTTCCTTTTTAAGGCTGAATAATATTCCATTATATGTACACAATATTTTGTTTATCCATTCACCTACTGATGGACATCTGGGTTGCTTCCACCTCTAGGCTACTGCAAATCATGCTGCCATGAACATGGGTGAACAGATATCTCTTTCAGACTCTGCTTTCAATTTTTTGGGCTAAATACCCAAAAGTGAAATTGTTGGATCACAAGGTAATTCTTTAATTTTTTCTGAGGAACCACCATACTGTACTCTGTAGTGGCTTTTTACATTCCCACCAGTAGTGTGGATTGACTTACTCCGTTCACCATAATTCTTTCCAGATTCATTCAAATTGTTGTATGAATAAATAGTTCAGTTATTTTCATTGTTGAGCAGGGTTTCATTGCATTGCTGCAACACCATTTGTTCAAGAATTCATCACTGAATGACATTTGGGGGCGCCTGGGTGGCTCAGTTGGTTAAGCGACTGCCTTCGGCTCAGGTCATAATCCTGGAGTCCCGGGATCGAGTCCCGCATTGGGCTCCCTGCTCAGCAGGGAGTCTGCTTTGCCCTCTGACCCTCCCCCCTCTCATGTGCTCTCTCATTCTCTCTCTCTCAAATAAATAAATAAAATCTTTAAAAAAAATAAATAAATAAATTGATTACTATAAAGAATATTCCTATGCTTAGGAAATACACGATGAAGTATTTAGGCATAAAGGACCATGATGTATGCAATCTACTCTCAAATGATTCATTAAAAATGTGTGTATTTTACATATACATGTAAATAGTATGTATATATGTGTAGAATAGGTGAATCTGATTAAAAGGCATGCAGGTGTTCTCTTTGTACTATTTTTGTTCTTGCAACTTTTCAGTATGCTTGAAATTATTTACAAATAAAGGTTTTTTTATTTTTTTACTGGAAGCATAAGTTGTGATCTTAAATCCTAACGACAAGTTTCACAGTAGTAGTCCAGAATAAGTGATAAAAATCCCAGGAGGATAGTGACTACTGACTGGATAGATTCCTACTTTAAGCCTGCGATATTCGTTGGAAAGAACGGTCTACCTTCAGCATATCTCCCCCTCTCCATTTTTTTCTGGAGGCGACCACTGGAACAGTGCGGAACCGAAATCAATCTATCCCATTTTTAAAAGACCATTTCTAGAAAGTGACTCAAACCTACATCCCTACTCGATTTCGCCCTGAACGCTTTAGAACCAAAAACGCGAAAAGAGTATAGGTGTTTCTCAAAAGAAAACCACTTAGCCGCTCAGCTGAGCAAATGGAGGAAGAAAAGTTAAGGTAAGTGGGCTAAAGAGACAACATCAAATGTCCAGGAGAGCTAAGAAAAGAATGCGTAAAAAGAAATAAGCCTGGAGCCAGTATGAGCGAGGCAGGAAGGGAGTGTCGGCCAGGAAAAAGGACTCGAGTGGGTGCGAAGTGTGTCAGGAGGAGAGGGAGTAGCTCACCTGGCCGTGGTAAGCAGAGGGTGCTGAGTCCCCACCAGCTTCCGCACCTGCATAGCGATGTTGCTGAGCTCGTCGCTCAGCAGGCAGCGGAGGCTCATGAAGGACGTGGGATAGCCCACGATCTTCTCCGCATCTGACACGACTTGGTTCCAGTGGGCCGGGGACCTGGAGGACTGACCACGCCAGGAGCCCACCGAGGAGATGGCATCGAGGGACGGGGACCACCACAAGCGACGCGGGGAACCCGACACCCCGAGATAACGGGGCAAGCGCAACAGTAGCTGCCGAAGGCTCATAGTTTGAGTCTGGGAGTGTCAGGGACTTGGGGATGTCCGGAGGTGGCGCGGGGAAAAAAACAGGGGCAGAGGAGGAACTTGCAGGACCTAGAAGGAAGCGGCAACTCCCGACCCTCAGAGAAGGGGGAGTTCCTGAAACCGTAACCAGAAACGCACTTTATCTGCAGTTTTCAGAGCTTCGGGCTACACAAACAACAGCCGGAGCTCAGCACTGCCCCCGACCATCTGGGTAGAAACCACGGCCGCCTCCTAAATGGGGGACACCATATTGGCGAGATGGAATACGGTCTGTCGTAAAGACAGAGACGGACCGTTCAGGAGCAAAGAATGTTCCCTCCTTTACGGCGCAGTCGTGAACGCCCCCGAAGGGGCGGGGCTTTGGAGGTGAGCCCCGGAAGGCGAGGGGTAGGGCGAAAGTTTAAGCTCCTCCCACACCCCGTCCCCACCCAAGGTTGGGAAGACCTGGGTTTCCCGGGATTGGGTTGGGGTGTAGGGCTGCCGAGTGGTGCTCTCGCCCCCGGAACTTGGGCCCAGTCTGATTCATCAGGGCATGCCCAACGCCCAGCACAGAGTGCCGCACAGAAATACTTGTGTTCTGGACGAGGGTCGGTGTCTACCAAGTCTCTTCGCGGCTCCCAGCCCGCCCGGAAGGAAGGGCGCCGGGCCGAGATGCGGGTTCCTCTGGGAATCCTCTCACAGCTGTCCACCAGTCCTTGGCAGGGGTAGTGGACCGGCGTGAGGGCGGCCCTTAGGGCAGCTGGCCTTAGGGAGCTACAGGCCGCTACTCCGCAGTGGGACGCAAAGTCTAGGCGTGGGACTGAGCCCTCTTTGCCTTCAGTTCCCAGCCAGACGAAAGGTGGCGTGGCCCGGCGGAAAGGGTTTTTTCCCAAGGAATGTCCTTGAACCTTGTCTAATCACCAGCCTCCCCGCTGAGCCTCGGTCTCCCCCCCCCCCCCCCCGGGTGTACGGCCCAGGCAGAAGCAGCTGTGCCTCCACCGGGGTGCAGAGAACCCCGTGCCCACCCTCTCTTGTCTTGTTCTTCGGAAGGACGTTCAGTTCACCATCCAGGATTCAAAACTATCAGCAACCGCAGTGCTTTTCACTTAACAGCTCATATATTAGCTCATTTTATCCTCAAAACAACTCCATTAAGTAGATGGTGTTAGTGTTCTCCATGTTTCGTGTGAGAAAACTGAGGCACATCCAAGTTGTGTAAATTGTCAAAGGCCGCACTAGACAGGGATGTTATGGCAGGCAATCAGGCTTCTGAATCCATGCTCTTAACCACAGCATTAGGCTAAGTAACAACCTACCAACCACTCTACTCTTCCATTGCTGAAGGGAAGCAGTCAATGTGGTTATCATTCAAGCAATGTTGCCTTTTCTTTTTTCAGGTATATCTAGTATCCTGCCCCTTTCGCATCACTCAAAACAAGTGTTAAAACAAAAACCTCTTTAGGGGTGCCTGGCTGGCTCAGTGGGTCAGGTCGTGATCCCTGAGTCCTAGGATCCAGCCCTGCCTTGGGCTCCCCTGAAGCTTCTCCCTCTCCCTCTGCCCTTCCCCCCTCCCTTGCTCCTGCTCTCTCTTGCGCTCTCAAATAAATAAACAAACAAACCCTTGTTAATAATGAAAGATATATTGCCCAATTTTACACTCTTAAAAATAGCTCGTAAAACTCTCTTCAACTTTAAAGATGCTTTCAAATTTCTTATTGATATATTTTTAAATTAGTATCATGCACAATACTGGACCTCTAGATTCGGGCTACATATAAAAATCCAGACTTAAAAAAGGGCGAATTAAAGAGTAATTATTCACTTTGCAGAAAGATGCTTTTCTCTACAAATGTTTAGCCTCAGACTCCCTTTGAATAGCAAAGTTCCCTTGTGATTTAACTTTTCAGGAGTACATTTTAGATGAAATGAATTAAGCTTGTAAGTGTTAAACACAGTCTCTGCCCACAAAATAAGTAAGGCAAGCTGAAGTTCAAAATAATTCCTGTGGAAGAGATAACAAACTCCTGGCAATAAAATTCAGCTCTGTTCTAGATGAAAATAAACGTGGAGAGTGAGATACTTTACCATTTCAAAAGGTTCCAAGGCCTGAGCTTCTGGGTTATCCAAGGTGAAAGAAGTCATGAAAAAATGAAGAGAGATAAAGACTGAATGTGATAGATTGTGCACCTGAGGCTGTTTCTTCAGAATCATGGAATCTTAAGACCAATTTTTCATGCAATTTCCTTAATACCAATTCACAGCATGTACTTTAATTTCTCCACAGAAGCCAAATGCATTATTCTCTGGTCATACTCTATTAACCAAGTTTTTGATTATTCATGGGACTTTTGGTCCCATTTACTTTAAATAATCAGCACTTTCTTTTATACTTACAGTTAAAAGGTTGCATTATACCTAATGATAATCCATTTTTAGAAGGTTAAAATGGTATTTATTCTTTAATCTTCCAGATAAATATATAACTCCTTTGAGCCTTTCTGACTAAAGAGATTTCTGAATTGATAGTGACTTTTGGAGGAGCAGGGAGAGGAAGTATCTGTGATTCCACCATTCCTCTGCTACTGGTAATACTCATTTTGCAGATGTCTGTGAATATGTGCAAAAAGAAAGAATGTAGCAGAGTTTCTCATCCTTGGTACTACTGACATTTGAGGGCATGGAATTCTTTGTTATGGCAGAGGGCTGTCCTGTGCATGCTAGGGTGTTTAGCATCATCCCTGGTTTCTACTCACTATAAGCCAGCAGTAACCCCCTCCAGGGCTGTGACAACCCAATATGCCTCAGGACGTTGCCAAATGTCCCCTGGGGGCAAAATCACCCATGGGAATCTAGGGAAGTGGGAGATGCTGAAAACAAACAAACAAACGAAAACAAACAAGGACCATTGATGACACTGACTCCCACAAAGCGGCAAAAGAAGAGGTCCTGTGTGTGAGTAGCCCTGAGGGTTAAAATGGCCACTCCACAATCTGTGGAAACTTCCAGCCATACACAGGGACTTCTCCATCTCCTGGGATTTGGGGTTGTTTGGGAGATAACAAGCTGACAAAAGATGGTCATGGCTCTTCCTCCACCTTTCTCAGGATCCTGAAGTTGGTACAGTATTGGTGGATTTCACTTACTGTTCTCTCCGCATTCTGCTGACCTTAGAAACAAGTGAAGTTATATTTAATGTCCTTTTCTTGGGCTGGAAACCTAAGCCAGCCTTTGGAAGTGCAAGGTCTTAACAAGGATGGTGTATGCTTTGGGCGTTGGCATTTCCATAATTAGGTGAGTGGACATAGATAGGGACACGGCAGCCACCATCCTTCTACCAACCTCAACACAATCACCTATTGTTTATCCTAAGAGAGTTCCTCCAAAAGCAGTTGAAAACCACTGTGGCATATCTTGGGGCAGAATGATAAAAGGAGGCAAGTAATCAGATTAGCAACAACCCAAAAGTTTGACCGTCTACTGGGCTGCTGGCTGTAGAGAACAGGAACAACACATATCGCCAGGGAGATTGTAAAATAGTTCACAGCATCTATGGAACGGAATTTGATAATCCCTAGAAAAACTACCTATGCATTTATACTTTGACCCAGAAATCCCAATTCTAGGAACCCTTTCCAAAATACAAAATAACTTATGCACAAGGTTATTTATTGCAATATTATTTGTAATCGCAAAAGATTAGAAACCAACCAAACAACCACAAGTAGGGAGTAAGTTGAATAAACTGGAGTAGGTCCATATAATGAAATACACTGTGTAACTCTGAAAAAGAATGAGGGCCATCTCTACACTGATGTAATGTGAGCTCCAGAATATGGTTAACTTTGGAACAACAACAGCAACCACAAACACACCAAGACGCAGAACAGTACAGTGTGTTTTTGGTAAGATAGGTGAACTACAAATATACACTAGCCTATATATTTGGGTTGGGAAGAAACAGCTGGAGGGGACGGGCATGGAACAGACTACCCTGACTATACCTTGACTATATAGTTTTGAATGTGAAGTCATGTATATGCATTATGGTATTGGTCAACTGATAAAGATAACAGTCTCGAGTCTTTTATTACACAATTTATAAAAAGTAATTTTCCTAGATGTTTCCATTACATATCCCAATTTCTCATTTGTTATTTAACTTCATTATTTTTTGTTTCTTTTGTTGTTCTGTTTTTCATTTTTTGTTATTGCTATACAAAGTTTCTATATTTAAAAAATAAATAAAGTCATATATGTTTTACATATCCAAAATAATTTTAAATTCTAAAGAAAAATGTAATTGCTAAAATTTGAAAACAAGCTGAAGCAAATGATCTAAGTGTATATTAAGTGGGTGGCATAACTACGGCAAGTAAATAATTAAATGAGTTTAGAAAATAGTGTTTTTACAGGGCATTTACAGTGGAATATATTCTCAGGATAAATAAACCTATAAAGAAATCTTAAACTTCAGTCTGCAGTCTTATTGCTGGTGGAAATTTATTATTAATAAAATAATAAATATATTATTTTATTAATAATAAAAATATTATCTTCAACTATTCTTATACATTATAGGTTAAAACAAATGTTAGAATTGTTAGGAACAACAGAGGAAGTAGAATCCATGTAAAATTAAAATTAAATTGGAAATAGTATGAACTTACAATTTTTCCTTTTCAAAAATGTTTCTTATGTTCCAATAAGAAAAGTTTTACATTTGGGGAGTGGAGAAGCATTTACTTGTTTTGTCCCTTGAAAAGGCCTGGAAATAATGAAAATCTTATAGCAATGAGCACCTTTAGTATTCATATTCATACTTTCTTTTTTTTTAAAAGATTTTATTTATTTATCTGAGAGAGAGAATGGGAGACAGAGAGCATGAGAGGGGGAGGGTCAGAGGGAGAAGCAGACTCCCCACTGAGCAGGGAGCCCGATGTGGGACTCGATCCCGGGCCTCCAGGATCATGACCTAAGCCGAAGGCAGTTGCTTAACAACTGAGCCACCCAGGCGCCCCAATATTCATATTTTCAATACATCATTCCCTGTTAAAAGGGGCAAGTCCTTTAAAAGAATGGCAGATTTCAGGTCTGGGGCAACAAATGTGCATGATGAGCCTGGAACACCCTGTTGTGCCAGAAATCAGGGAATCTATTATAGTCTAAAGTCTAATGGGTCAGGTCAAAGGGACAAAGGGATCAGCATAAAGGAGCTCCCACTAGCTGAAAAGGGGACAATCTGAGCGTCAAAACAGAGTAAGAACTACAACTGATCGAAAT